TATATATACATATATACACACACACACACTCATATATAAGGCATAACAAGAACACTAAAACAATGTTGACTGTTAAACATTTTTTCCAACAACAGAATGGATTTAAACTATGTATTGAAAAAAAAATAGCATAAGTGTTAGAGATGGTGAATATATCCAGTTTCATTTACAGAACCAATGTCCTGAATTTTAAGCATTCAGTGAACTGCCAATTTTGATTTGTGTTGCTCTTTACCTAGATGGCTTTTTCTTTCTCTCTCCCTCTCTCTCTCTCTCTCTCTTTTTTTTAATCAGAGGAGGGAAAACAAGGAGCAAATCTGTGTTTGAAAATTATACTCTGTATCTGGCTTTTCTGTGTATGTTAACCACTTAAATGTTATTATCCTGCTTTGGTTTTATAGTGATTGTGAGGCATTCGATGCAAGTATACAGTTATTTTCTCATTAAAACCCAGTGTGTGTTGTGTTTTTATGAAGGATGGCTACGTGCTGCGGGGAGGGGGTCAGTTCTGATGCCCAGGCTGTGGGCAGCAGTGCCAGCACCCTCGGCCTCTCCCTGCTGGCAGCAGCATCTGCTTCCTCACATACAGCATGAAGGAAGCAGTCCCACCTGGAGGGACATACTGTACCAGGCTGTGCCCAAATGCTCCCTTAGCAGTGTCATCTCCAGCTGTCCCAGGAGCCCCTGCAGGACCCCCACACACGATGACGCAGGTGTTTCTCCATGATGCAGGTAGAACTGAAGTAATTTTGAGACAAACAGCAGGACGAACCCTAAAGCCAGGCCTAGCCTGTGGCGCTCTGGCTCCAGGCATTATGATTACTGCCAGCGTTGGTCGTGGCTCTTCTCTGCAGAACAGAGAACTGCAGACCTTACAGCACACCTAAAGCTTCATCAGAAGCTTCCTCTTCATATGGGCCCTGCCCTCATCTCAGGCTCCAGCCATGCCAGGACCTGCCCCACCCCTGGCCCCTGGCCCTCTTTTATTTCTCCAGCCTTCCTCTTCCTTGAACTTTCATTCAGCTGTTTCTTTTCTCTCCCTCCCTACTTGTGACCTCCAGAGCATTTCTCCCCAGGATTCCCAAACATCTTCCTGCTCTGAGGGTCCAGGAGCTTCTAGTGGGACTGTCACAGGCATCATGGATGGTGAGAATTTTGCTTCTTTTCTGGGGAACAATGACAGCCTCCTGTGGAAATTTGATTAAACTCCAAAGATTGTGGGTAAACCTTTGCAAAGTGCTAAGAGTGTGACTGGTACTTTCTGGACTTTCCCCAAACATGACATAGCTCTCCTAGAACTAAAGAGAAAAAAGGATGTCTCCATGGAACACCTTCTCATCTTGCCATTATTCCCTGGACAATATGGTATAACAAATATGTACATGTCATCCACCTGTACTAGGTGTCATAAATCATTCAAGGATGATTTGAAGGAAATGAGCAATTTATTTGTAAACATTGTGCCATTTCATATAAGGAATGGAGCATTCATAGATTTTGGTACCCCCATGAGATCCTGCAACCAATTTCCCATGAAACTGAGGGACCTGTGTATTCACGTCTTTCAACAACCTCGTGGAGTGTACTATTTTGATTTCTATTTTACATGCGAGGAAACAGGCTCCCAGAGGTTGGTTTTTGATGACACACAGCCTGTAGGTGGCAGCACTCTGCCCCCCAGCATTCCTCCTGACCCTTTTTCTCACTGAAACAGGAAAGGCAATGTCACAAGCAGTTAGGTTGACCTGTGTAGTATCTGGGAGAACTTCAAGGTATCCTCTCTGTGTGTTACAAGAAAGTGCTTGTGGGGTCAAGGCCAAGCCACCCAATCAAGGGGGAGTCAGGTTTTGGTGGGGACAGCAAAGAAAGCTCTTCTGCGTGAACTACCACTGGGCTCAGCTCTTCCAGGAGCTGCCAAGCGAAGTCCCAGGTATCCTCTGTTGCCAAAAGAATCCAGAATAAGGTGCTAGAAATGTGTCAAACTGTGGCAATGGCTGCAGGACACTAAATTTACTAAAAACCATCAAATTATATTGAAGTTTTATTATATAATTATACAGCAGTGAAGCACCAAGAAAAAAAGTAACTGGGAAGGGAGAGGTTGGAAACAGAGCACACATTTGGAAAAGGGAACATGGAAGCCACAAAGACTTAAAGGGAATTTTCACAACATTTAGCCTCTAGTTCATCCACAAATAAGGAAGAAAGTCCATTGTCCCCAAGGTGCCCACCAGGCACCAGAAGCCATGGACCTGGGATTGGCTGTGTGTTCGGAGTCCTGGATCTGGGAGCACTGGGCACAGCTAGGTGAGTCAAGGTGCCATTTGGTGGGCAGGCATACTGGGTGCTCAGGCTGTGGGAAGCCAGGCTCTGAACTGGGAGGCAAAATGGAACATGGCGACTGGGATAGTCCAACCCAAAGGTATCTTTCTGGAATTCTTATTTAGCAAACATTAACCAAAAAGCCTCCCATGTTGAGACATTAAGCCTCCACTGGTCAAAGGGCAGCTGACCTGTGATGGTATGGGGAAGAGAGGACAGGGCTTATAAACCTAGTTTTTTGTTGGCGACAAAGAGAATGTCATTATGCGACATGTAAGGCAATGTAAGGCAAGGTCATTTTGGAGCTTTGTTTATTTTAATTATAGGATTCCTAGGCAATGAGAGGGCATTGAATATATCATTCCCTATATAGAATCCATACAAAATAAACATTTGGGCTGCTAGGGGCACAGAGAACAGATAACAAATAGGGATTTTTTTTTTTTCTTTTTTGAGACAGGGTCTTACTATAGTTCATGCTGGTTTGAACTCACTATGTAGCCCAGGATGTCTTCAAACTCTTAGCCATCCTCCTGTCTCAGCCTCCCATGTGCTGCGATTACTGCCATACACCAGCATACCAGGCCAAATGGAAAATTGAAAGGAAAAATTCAGAAGATTTTACACAAACAAACTGATACCAAAGGAAAGAATGGAGTCTCAGGAAATACCTGACAATGCCACATTGGCAGTTTTGAAATGTTTCCACTGTCAAGGTTTGGGGTTTTGGCAAGCTGAACAATATAATGCAGTACACATTTTATGATATTATTTTATGATAAATCACCTAAGGGATCATATACAAGTGTAGGACATCTGTCTACACACTGAAGACCCAAGAATCAAGCTGATGGCCTAGATCCCAATATCCTGCATGAGTTGAACTGAAAACCTAGAGGTTCATAACGATGCCTCACACCAGTCCAACTGGAGGCCTAGAGCCCATGACAATGTCTCATTTAGGCCCACTTCATAGATCTGTGCTGGAAGGGCTCAAAGCTCAGTGGTGGAAGCTAGGAAGTCTGTACCAGTAGGATGAAAGATCTGCCCTTGAAGGCTGAGGGATCTGAACTGGAGCCAGGAATCAATGCTCAAGGTAAGCACCAGAGCTCCCCAAAAGTACCACAGCCATCGTCAGCAACAGTGAGGTCCTGAGCTCCTCCAGTGATGAGGAAGACCAAGTTCCCATCAGAAAAGCCAACACAACAAGCTTCTCCATGAGGCTGAGCAGTGCACCATCTTGCCCTCCAGAGCCAGGAAGGAATGCAAGGTGAAAACCAGAACTCCCTCAAAATGCACTGTAGCCATTCTCAGTGACAACAAAGGTCCTGAGCTCCTCCCATGAGAACATCTAAATTCATTGGGAAAGCCAGCATGTCAGGGTCCTCCAGCAGAACAGCCCAAGAGAACAGGCAGCTTCCAACAGCTCCAACAGCTTCCCCAAACAGCATTCCTACCAGCCTCTCAACAGCTTCTCCTGTTCTGCCTTTTAGGCTGCTGGCAACAATCTGCAGGTGGGCCTCCCACACCCAGCACCGAGCTGGTTCAGCTCAGCTAGGTGCAAGTTGACCACCAATTAGGCATCCACTACACCCACTTCAGATACTTTCTCTGCAAGGAAGAAGAAAGCTTGCTCCATGTAGGTGGTTTTGTTTTACCAAGAAATAGTGCTTTCAATGTCAATTATCTTCGATGAAAGAGTTTTCCAAATCCTAACTGCACAGGTGGTGAACTCTGAACGACTGGAATAAAACCCATGAATTTATCTCCCTGCCTTTTACTCATGTATAGGACATTCTGTCTCAGCAGGGGTCTCCACCTGGTAATGTCCCTGTACCTCTGAATAGCACTGGTTCTCTCTCAAGTGCTGGGATTACTATCATGTGCCACCATGCAGGCCAAATGGAAAATTGAAAGGGAGAATTCAGAAGACTTTAAACACACAAACTGATACAAAGGAAAGAACAGAGTCTCAGGAAATACCTGGAAATGCCACATTGGCAGTTTCTAAATGTTTGGGAGTTTTGCAAGAGGAACAATATAATAAAGGATACATTTTATATTATTTTATAATGACTCACCCAAAGAATCATATACAACAAATGCAGGAAATCTGTCTCCACACTAAAGACCCAAGAATCCAGCCCAGGCCCTGGATCCTAACATCCTACGTGGGTCCTGCTGAAGACCTCATGCTCATAACATGCCTCCTGCAATTCCACCTGGAGGCCTAGCGCCC